GCTTGCTTTCATTTTAAGACGTTTACGTCATTGCACGTCACTCATGGCGGAGTTGGTGTGAACAGAGACATTTCAAAGAAGGGGAAGAGCACTTTAGCTTGTGGTTGAAACTGACAGACAATGTGTACATTCTGTGACCCTGTCATCTAGTCAGGGCTGGGGTCGGGGAGCCCTCTACCAACTGGGTGCTTTATCTTGAGCTCATAAGTGTACAGAGACGTTGAGATTTTCTAACAATCAAAGGCTTCTTTTATAGCCAATTTTCTTTCTTTTCTTTTCTCCCTCCAGCCTCCGCTCTCTCCCTCTCTCTCTTTCTAAGACAGTCTCTCTATGTAGCCCTGGCTGTCCTATGTTAAGACAGAATCTCTCTATGTAGCCCTGGCTGTCCTATGTAGACCAAGCTGGTCTTGAATTCACAAAAATCCATCTGCCTCTCCTCCTCAGTTTTTGTCTTGAACAGATGAATTCAGCTAAGAGACAGACCTTTTAACCAGCTGTTTATTAACAAAGCAGCAGTTTAATTAGTTTAATTAGTAAAGTTAAGCAGAGCTAAGGTAGTATAGGCCTTTAATCCCAGCACTTGTCAGAAACCAATGGCTCTCTTTGAGTTCGAGGCCAGCCTGGTCTACAAAGCGAGTTCAGCAAAACCAGGGCTATGTAGAGGGACCCTGCCCCAAAACAAAACAAACAAACAAACAAAAAACAAAGCTAAGCAGAACACTCCAAAGATGGATTGAATTGGGCTGTCCCTAAGTAGGAAGCAGACTCATGGACTCGGCATGTTAGATTTTAAATAATTTTTATGAATATTTATGAGGTGAATGTTAAAAGCATCCAGAATCTTTAGACCCCAAGTAAAGAACTCTGGATGGAAGTCTGGCCCTCAGCTCTGCCACACACAACAGGATCAAGGTCTACCGTTCAGGGTCAAAACAGCTTGAATCATAGTCTCACTTTGATCAGCCCTATCCTTTCTCTTCACCAGTCAGCTTGACTAACTCCTGCCCAGCTACCAGCCCTTTAGTTCACTTTATTTAATGTTGCCAACCACTTTGTCATGTTTGAACATTGCTCTTACCTCAGACATTTGTTTTTTACTAGAATAAGTGTACCGGTTGAAAGCCAGAAAGCAGGGAGGTGAAAGGCTGAGGCAAGGTTGAGTCGCAGACGCCCCGAGAGAGACTTTAGAAGTGGTCACTGTGAGCTGGGCAGTGGGGGCGCATGTCTTTAATCCCAGCACTCCGGAGGCAGAGACAGACGGATCTCTGTGAGTTCGAGGCCAGCCTGGTCTCCTGGTCCACAGAGCAAGATCCAGGACAGGCTCCAAAGCCACAGAGAAACCCTGTCTCGAGAAACAAAAACAAACAAACAGAAAGAAGATGGTCATTTTGGGCCAAACAGCACTGACATTCATCAACCCCTCAGCAAGTGTAGCTGCTGCCCTTTTCCAGGAAAAAGCTCTAAGAACCCAGCAACCCAAGGATTTGCCTCGGTTCCTATTTCGATGTGAGGATTAAGGGTCTGTTTCAGCAAATCACTGTGCCCTTTAGCTCTGCGTTTTTTGCTGTGAGCTCACTTGATTTTCTCTGCCCACCAAGGTCCCTGTTGTGCCACCCACCAGATGTCAGCCTGACCTTGCTGGTGCCTCCAGGAGGCTCTAGGGAAATTAAAGACACACAAGCCTGACTCAAGAAATGAACAAGAGGGGAGTAGAGTCCCAAAGAGGGGAACTGGACCACTACAAGTTTGGAGAATTATTTTATAAACATCCACCACATAGCCACTGTGAGGTGGAATATAAGAATTTCATTAATTCAGTTCCTAAACTTCGGAGTTTGGCAGTGAGGCTAGCAAAAAATAAATATATTCTAAAGAGACACTTAGGTCTCCCAGGGTGTCTGTTAGCCTGTTGAAACAATAGACCCCAAAGAAATGGAAATTTCCCCAGGAATCTCACGCTGGGAAAGGGAAAATGCCCAGCCAGACTGGGAACTTGTCTCCCAAAATGATTTCCTCAGACACTTCATAGGATAGCATTGAAGCCCAGATAATAGTGGGTCTGTGGTAGGCAGGACCTTGCCTAGACTGTGACTTCTAGATGGTGCATAACCTTGGCTCTCTATCTAAACTCCAATCTTATCTCTCTTCAGGGCCTGAAGACTTGGGAGGTTCGCTAGATCGCTTTGACTTTCCCATGAGGACACATTGAATAAATCTTTTTGTAGAAAACTTTTCTGCTTTCTATGAACTTGGCTCTTTCAGTTGGCTTATTGAGGACCATGGCTGAAGAGGCTGTGACTCCAAGTCTGATGTCAGAGGCCAGGACTCACCAGATTGCTTTTTCGTTTCCCACCCATCGTGATAAGCATTTAATAGTCAACAGAGGCACGGTACCCAGCTAGCAAGAGTGTCAGTTTTTATGTAGGATCAGATGAAATGCATGGACGAGAAATAAGTGGATTGGGTGCTCTCAGAACAGGAACTACAAAGGAAGCTTATCAAAGGTAATATATTTCTAGTTTAGGGGCAAAGGAAATCCTAGCAATGAACAGAATGAGCACAGTATAGAGAAAAAAGAGAAATAGAAGGAATCATGGCTTTGTGCGGCATAAAGCATGGCTATAAAGAGCATCTACCAGGTTAGAGAACCCAGCCCCAGCTACTCACCTCAAGGGAGGGGAATGGGTGTGGTCCTCAACTGTAAAAGAACAGAAAGTGTTGGGATGTAGCTAAGTAGTGGAGCATTTGCCTAGCGTGCAATCAGCAGGAGGAAGAGATGGGGAGGGGGAGCAGAAACAGGAACACAAATCAGAGAACAGAGTCAGGAGGTAAAGAGGCACCTCTGCTACACCAGCACTTGGGAGGCTGAGGCAGGAGGATTAGACTTCAAGGTCAGTGTAGGGTACAGAGTAAGACTATCTCTAAAAAGTAAGTTTAGAAGTTTAAGAAGTGGTTTGTTCTCAAAGGAACATTTTTGTTCTAAATTTTTCTTCCCCATTAAGTGCGTGCCATGACCTTGTGCTCTTGGTCCTTGACAATAAAATGGGGATTTTTGTGAGTACCTATCAGGAAATTGTTATAAATCTTCCACATCTAGCAAAGCAGGGGGCATATATTTAGAATGCAATAAATGTCAACTCTTGGTTTATGTGCCAGTGCGGTGCTGGAGGTTAACCTTGAGGCCTTCTGCAAGATGAACGAGTTCCCTACCACTAAACGTCCGCTGTCCTAACTGTAATAATTCTGTGCAGGAGGGACCCTGGCGGTGGGTGAGAGCCCACCGTGGCTGGCGGGCGAGAGACAAATAAGCCATACAGGCAGAATTTAAGTGGGGAGTTTTAATGAGATAAAGGGAATGGGGGGAAGAAAAGAAGGAGGGAGGGAGAGAGATATGCAGAGAGAGAGAGAGAGAGAGAGAGAGAGAGAGAGACAGGGGAAGAGGAAGAAAAGAGAGAAGTAGGCTGAGTTTTGCCCTTTAAAGAGACAGGATACTGCCTGCCTGGGATGCAGGGTGTGATGCACTCTGTCGGGTCCTCAAGGGGCGGAGCCAGGTTCATCCTGATGCTAATGCAGTTACCTATTACTGCTCATTTTTTCTCTCTTTCCTTTTATTGACAAAAGTCTGGCTATGTATCCCCTGCTGCTCTTAAGTTCCTGATTCTCCTGCCTCAACTTCCTAGAGGTATGACCATAATTGGTTTCTGTTGGCTATTTGTAAGAATGTTTTGGGGGCTAGAGAGATGATGGCTCAGTGGTTAAGAGCACTTGCTGTTCTTCCAGAGGACCCGGGTCCAGTTCCCAGCACCCACATGACAGCTAACAACTGTCTGTAACTCCAGTTTCTGGGGATCTGGTACCTTCATACCAATTCACATAAAATAAAGTTAAAAAAAAAAAAAGAATGTGTCTCGTCCTCAAAATGCCTACTTGAACCAAGAAATGTATAAGGTATCTCAGAAGTTAGTCTATTTGTTTTTTTTTTTAAATATTCTATTATGTTATGCTGTTTTCCCTTTCAGATTCAGTTAGAAAAGTGTGCCTGACAAGAAACAGGCAAGAAGCCACTCAGTGAGTAGGGGAATGGGAAATGTATTATTCTATACTATGATAAGAAGAAACCAAACATTAATGAAGTAGGAAGGGCCCTGCTTCTAGAACCTTCTGCCACGTGGAACATAGAAAGCACTAGCGTTTTCTTAGCAGATGTGACTCATGCCGGCCGTGAAAGAAAAATCTGCAAAAACAAGTGTTCTTTGTATTCCGCGGCTGACAGGCATCCTGGGCTGCCACGTCCCTTAGAGCCTCCTCTGCTCCTTGTTCTCTCCGCTCTCTGCTGTTACCTCTCCGATCTGGGAGTTTCCCTGCTTACTGTTTAACTAGCCTTGATGTTCCTGTGTCAGACCCGTTCCTGGACTAGCGGGGCTGGGCTTAAGGACCACTTGTCTGATTCTTCAGCCTGCACAGCCGCAGAAACATACCGATCTTATATAATCTGCCCTTGCTCTGTCTCGCCAGCCCTACCCAGACACCGTCAGTGTTACAGTAACAGCAATCCAGACAGAGCCCAGGCCGTCAGAGACTCCGCCCCTTCTGACTGGACCGCAAGGTGTCCCTCTCCACCTTCGCGAAGCCTTTGTTAGGAACTGGTCTTTGTGGACCCAAGCATGGCAGAGTTCCAGAAATGGGTTTAATATTTAACCCCAAGGAAGCAAAGGACATAGGGCATGAAATACACAGAGAGAGTCACACAGTATGAAAGGCAAAAGAGTTGTCAAGTCTGGAAGGAAAAAAAAGGGAGACGATTTAGCCAAGTTCTTTCCCGAGCGAGTCCTTATTTTGCTGGCTGCGTGGTCAGACGCTCCCAGCAAGCAGCAGCCTGCGCTTCCACTTTCTGACCACAGAAAGCAAAGCTTGCATGCATGAACAGAAGCCCTGGCAGCAGTGCGGCTTACGTCACCTCGGCATGAATCTCCAACACCTCCAGCCGCGGAGGCCACCCCAGGAAGAATGATGTCTCAACTAAGGTGTGTTCAGTACAAGCAACTTCTTTGTAATCAAGACAAATTCCCCGAAGTGTCCAGAGACTATAGCTGTAGGATAGACTACGGGGCAACTGTACACATGTTAATTACTTTATTGCTTTTCTAAGAGGCCATAAAACTCCTCAGAGTCTGATGCAGCAGGAAATAGTCTCGCTGTGCACCTTGTGGAATTGTTTTACATGGGACTTTAAAGTATTTGTTTAGTGTGTATATGTGTGTGGGTGCACCCGAGTCAGGATGCCGGTGTGTATGGAGGTCAGAGGACAACTTAACAGCAGTTGCTTCTCTCCTTCTACCACATGGGTTTTATGGGGGCGGTAAGGGGATCAAAATCAGTTGTCAGGGTTGGCAGCCAGGCTCTTTAGTGGCTGAGTTACCTCACTAACCCCGCATTTGAAGTTTTAAAGCTTCCTTTCGGTTAGTTATCTCCACGTTCTTTTCGATTTTAGCCGATTAAGATTTGAATTCTGACAACATGGTGGTGGCCTGCCTGCAATCCCAGTATGTGGTGTGGAGAAGGAGTAGGGGGGTCAGGAGTTGATCTTCGGCTTCACAGCAATTTTGAGGCTTGCCTGGGCTACGCGAGAACTTACCTAAACCACCACCACCAACAAACCAACGACAACAGGGGCTGGAGTGTTTAGAGCACTGTAGCACACCATGCTCACCTGCGCTCTATGGGCTACCATACAGTTCGTGAACCGGGCAAGGGGCTGGAGATTGAAACACACAAAGACACATAGACAGAGGCATGGGTCATCCTTCATACCAGAATGCTCCCTTTATTGTGTCCAGGGGCAACTTACATAGGGATCCTTAACTGATAGCCATGCCCCAGCCAAATGCACCAGAAACCACTCCCCTGCCATCAGGAAGTCCTGAATGTCTCGTGCTCAGAGCAGAAAGCATTACAAGTTGTTTACCAGAAATTCGGGATCACAGCTGTTGGGGTTCACAGCTCACAACAGCTCACAATTGTCTCAAACTCCAGTTCCAGGGAGATCCAATGCCTTCATCCAATGCTTTCTTTCGACCTCTTGGGGCATCAGGTATGCATGTGATGTATGCAGGCAAAACATTTATACACATAAAAATAAAATTTCAAAATCTGAAATAACTGAAAACAACAGCTTAAAAAACCTCTATAGTTCAAAATAAGTATACCAAAATTACTAATATAACTGCCTAATATTTTAAACATTTTGAACAATGGAAATTTTAAAGCTGCCAAAATCCTGTGTGTTGATGGTTAAGACACTTAAATACAACCCCCTCTGGACAGGTGCTTTGGAGTATATATTGCTGAATTTCTATTATATGTCTCTCTTCTCTCAATGCCTGTGCTTACCTATGTTAAAGCCTTTTTCCTGTGTGTATGTGTGTGCATTTGTATTCACGTGTACATGTGTGTACAGGGGCCTGCAGAGGTCAGAGGTCAAGTTTGGGTGCTGTTCTTTAGGATCCACCCTTCTTTGTTTTTTGAGACTGTTCCTCAATTGACTGGGAACCAGCCACACAGACCAGGCTGACTCACCTGGGATCTGCCTGCCTCAGCTTCCCAGCAATAATAGTTTCACTGCTATAAGATTACAAGCACAAGCCACTGTGCTTTGGCTCAGGTGCTGACCCTTATATGACAAAGAACTTTACTCTAAAAATTATAAATAAACTCCAACTCTGTTTTGCACTGATTTATCCCCAAATTCTTTTCTGTGTTCTAAAAATCTGAGCTCTCCACTAAGTTGAGGTCTCTGAAAGAAAATGCCTAGGCAGCCCTTGGGCTATAGTTCTGTTCCCGGTCACACTTAGAAGGTCTGTTGGCCAGAGAATAGATAATTTGTGATCAGAAATGTATAAATTTGCAAAATATAAAATAAAATAAATGAGTACAAACAGCTGGAAAAAAAGTTTGATGCCAGATAAAAATCTAGTAAATCTGGAATATTACACCAAACCTGATGACCTTAAAATAAAGATCATTAACCAGGCGGTGGTGGCCCTTGTCTTTAATCCCCAGGAGGCAGAGGCAGGAGTTTGAGGCCAACCTGGTCTACAGAGTGAGTTCCAGGACAGGCTCCAAAACTACAGAGAAACCCTGTTTTGAAAAGATCCAAAAACCAAACCAAAACAAAACCAAAAGAAAACAAACAAAAAACAACCCCCCCCAAACTAAAGAAGACAAAACAAAAAATAAATTCCATAGTCACCCCTGTGTCTTCTTTAGATAAGAGGTGAAAAGAATATAGTTCAATGGAAATTACTAGAAAATGCAACAAAGTAAAACAATGTATATTGTGTGGGGTCCGCATTCTTGAGCCAGGTAGGGCTTTACAGCACTTGACACTTCTACTTTCTCTTTTGCTCTTGCTGGTAACCCCTGCTGGCCTCTAAATTCATGGCAAACACCCACTCAACCTCAGCGTCCTGGAATACAGGCTTGAGCCAACGTGCCCAGCCACGTGATTCTGTAATACCTGATCCCTGGAGTAAAGACTTCTAGGAGACAGGCCTACAGGTGAGCTTTGAAGGGTGAGACAGAGGATGCAGGACAGGACTCCAGTGTTCCTAGAGGATGCAGGGACACGCCTCCAGCGTTCCTAGATGATGCAGGACACGCCTCCAGTGTTCCTAGAGGATGCAGGCACACGCCTCCAGCGTTCCTAGATGCAGGACACGCCTCCAGCGTTCCTAGAGGATGCAGAACACGCCTCCAATGTTCCTAGGGCCCACATTCAGACCCTAGAACCCAAGTCTTCAGTAAGATTTCTAGAATGAATGAATGAATGAATGAAGTAGATAAGTGACAGAAAAATCTAATGTCTTTTGTTTGACTTCTCATTGCATCTGAAAAGCCACTCTCCCCGACACCTGCACTTAATTTCCCAACACAGAATTATTTATCAGCTGACTGAGAAAATACATAATAAATTAGAAGCACAAGGTAACACCTGCCAACAATGACCTTCGCAATACGAAGTTCCCTCAGAAAGATTAAAGGTTTCGAAGACTGAGTAGAACTTCATGATTGTGAAGTCAAAATATTGCAATTTCCAGATCAAAATCATCCTGGGCTTTCTTTAGCCACGCTAGTCGCCATTTATCCCCAGTCTTTGTATCTGATCCTCCATCCTTTCATAAAAATTAAAAAAAAATGTTTATTTTGTTTCGTCTGCACCCCAGAAGAGGGCATTAGATCCCATGGGACTATAGTTTTAAACGGTTGTGAGCCAATATATGTATGGATGCTCGAATTGAACTCAGGACCTCTGGGAGAACAGCCAGTGCTCTTAACTCCTGAGCTATCTCTCCAGCTCCTGATTTTCCATCCTACAGTTTTCGGTAAAAACTGTGGAATGTAGCCAACCCCAAAGCTAAGAATGTCATCAGGTGGTCTGAGATCAGTTCCCTGCTTTATTGTAACCTGTAACTGCCTCCTGATATTCAGATCAAAGTCCTGAGTAAGGCTTTTGTCCTTTAAGATTTATTTTGTGGGCCTGAGTATATATGTACACATACATGCGTGTGCACGCACACACACACACACACACACACACACACACACCACACACAATACACCCATGTGTACGTGAGTGCCCCTTGTGCAGGCACCTGCAGAGGCCAGAAGCAGACTTGGGATCCCTAGGAACTACAGTTACAGGTGGTTGTCGGCTGCCTAGTGTGGATTTGTCACTCATAACTCAGATCAGAATAAATTCTCTTATTCCCTCTGGAGGACAATAGGGGTCAGTGGGTGAGCATCAGGCAGGCGAGAGGAAGCTTGGTAATGTAGTTTTCCTCCAGAAGACCTGCAGAGAATGCCTATCACTGAGCACACTCACAAGGGGACCTCAGGGTCCTTTACCAAGTAAGACAGGACCATGCTCTGTCAACCTAGATATTCAGCTTGAAGTGCAGGCCTTCTTTGGGCAAAAAGTGGCTAAAAAGTCATTTTTAATGCAACATTTATTTCATGCTATGCCCTTGTGTTTTCATACAATCATTTTAAGAATTACAGTACAGATTTAATAAAGATAGCAAATCACTCTCACCAAATTTTAAAATAGAGCTATATATTAGGTATTTTTAAACTCATTTAACAATCCTATATGTGATCTTTGACGGCGAACTTCATTTTGGCACACAGCTCTTTTGTCCTTTGGGGACTGTAATCGAAGAAGTATACATTCCACCTGAAGCTCAGGTGACAGAAAATCACGATTGATGGCAACAACCAATTTCACCCAGCCAGCCACATCAAAGTACCCTGGGGTTATTCTGCTCATTTATAGGCAAAGAAAAACAGACTTCTCAGCAGCCTGCGGAGAAGAGCCAGTACTGACAGTTTAAAGCAGGCCTCGGGAGTGGATCATCTCACCAGACCTTTGAAAGTTTGGAAACTCAAGACTCCTGTTTGAATGGCAAGCAGCGATATTCTTAACCTTGGTGTCTGTCCTTCCAAAAGAAGCCAGCTGTCACCAATGGTGTAAAAGTCCATCACGGCACATTTAGGTGAAGATGGCTTGCCTTCCTCATCTTAACTACCGTCTCTTGATCTTAGCCTTAGTTATTATGCCTTTGGGGTATCACATGTAGTCCAGGCTGGCCTTGGATATGGCCAGTGCTGGGATCAGAGGGGTGAGATCCTAGACCTGATAAATTATTCTTTAGATAGGGTCTCTGTGTGAGCCCAGGATAGCCTAAAACTCTTTTCTCCAACATGAGTCTTCTCCTTGTGCTGGGTCACCACATCTAGTTGTAATTAAACCTCAGGAGGCAGAAACGGACCAGAGGACAATAGCGCCGTTTTCATTTCGACAAAAGATGGTCTTCTAATTTGCACATACAGTGCTAATTACAGAACAAAACTGTCTTCCTTCCCATCATTAAAGCATAAAACATTGTACACATTCTTCCACTAGAACAAGGAAAAAAAAAGAAGAAAAAAAACATTGTACACAGACATCTAAAAAAAAGTTTAGAATATTTTGTCTAGTTTTGTTTTGTAGGCCAAGTCTCTGTAGCCCAGGCTGGCCTTAAGCTCATGGCAATTCCCCTGCCTCAGCTTCCCAAATGTTAGAATTATAGGTGTGAGTCATCAAGCCTGGCTTTGAAAATATTTTTTCAGGGAACAAGAAGGAAAACGTCCAAGGTGTGTAGGTAAGTTATATCAGGCAGTAGGTGTCATTTCCTCTTTGAAGATCACAGACACACCAATACACATGAAGACCAAAATAACTGAAAACAGGCATGGTAGCTCAGGCTTGTAATTCTAGTCCTCAGGAGGTTGAAGCAGGAGGATGGTTGAGTTTGAGACTAGCCTGTGCTATATATAGTACATTCCCAGCCAACATGGCCTACATTCAGAATAAGAATTTGAAACAAACAAACAACAATAAAAGATGATATTCCCTTCCCTTCCCAGACACCAGGTACTGCTTTGATTTTTGAGTACATCATGCCATAGGCCTGTTTCAGCTCTACTGCAACAGGGCTGGATGACAGGAGACTCAGAAGGCATAAAGCTCAAACTCCATCCTGAAAAGTTTCATGAGTTTGGGTATAACACAAGACCGTTCTATACCTCATTTGTTAGTCAAATGAGATGATTAAACTGTGTTCTACATAGCACATGGCACTAACATTTTAGGTCTACAGACTCTGAAAATATCATTAGAAATCAGACTTCATTGACACTCCCACCCAATGGTTGGATACGAATTTGGACCCAGAGATCCTAAAGCTTTCAATAACTACCTTCAACGAGCAATGACTGCTGTTTTTTGCATTTACTTTTAGAGATTTGAAAATGGCCACAAAGTCCATGTAAGTCTTCTCATAAAAGATGGTGTTTATTTCCCCACTGGAATTCTCCTGGATTCTGGGCTAGTTTTATTTTTTTAATTACTTGAGTGTATATGGATGTTTTGCATGCATGTAAGGTTGCATGGACCCCCTAGAACTATAATCACACCAGTTGTGAGACATTATGCGGTGCTAGGAATCAAACATGTGTTCTCCGGAAGAACAACCTGTGTTGGCTTTTTGTTTGTTTGTTTTTGTTTTGCTTTTTTTTTTGTTTTTTGTTTTTTTCAAGACAGCGTTTCTCTGTGTAGCCCCTTGCTGTCCTGGAACTCACTTTGTAGACCAGGCTGGCCTTAAACTTATTGAGATCCGCCTGTCTCTGCCTCCCAAGTGCTGGGATTAATGGCATGCACCACCGTTGCTCAGCCACAACCAGGCACTGCACTATCTATCCAACCTAGAGCTACTTTTATGACTTGCTTTGGTTCTCAAAACGATGTGAACCATTTTGGGGTTTTCGATTTTTAATCCAAAGAAGAGAAGGCTGTAGATTCTTTCTAGATTATTTGGGGTTACATGACCTGGAACTGTGGCAATTCAACTTGGAGCAAAGGCAACCTGGAGACAAGATACATGAAGCCATGTGTATTAGACAGTTATCTATGTCTATAACAAGGTACCTCTGACAATCAACTGATAAAGTGTTGCCTTTTTGGGGCAACTTTTCAGATTTGGCCCACATTTTTGGGTCCCAACAAGAAAGGGGTTATTTTGGCTCACAGGGTTTGACTAGTTGACCTCATTGAGATCTATGGTGAGTTAGTGCATTGTGTGGGAGCAGATGGTGAAACCAAACTGCTAACTCATCTCATGGTCAAGAAGTTAAAAAAAAAAAAAAAGGAGAAAGGGCTGGGGCCCCACAGTTCTGCTGGCAAACTCCCAGGTACCTGTGGTTCGCTCATGAGGTCCTACCACTTCCTTGGGTGTCTTAGACAGTATCTAATATGACCCAGCTTGGCCTCCAACATGTTCTGTGACCAAGGCTATCATTGAACTCCTGATCCTCCTGCCTCTACCTCCCAAAGGCTGAGAGGTGGGCAATGACACTGTAAATGTCATTTTGCTCTCATAGAGGATAGGATGGGATTTACGGGTCTGAAGGCATTTGGAGAACATAGGGAAGGAAATCTTTGGGGACCTGGAAAAGATTTCTCTAAGGAGATGACATCCAAAGAAAGTAATGAGAATAATTTCTCCTGGGCAAAGAGGGAGAAATAACATCCTAGAAATAAGATACCATGTATGCAAACATTGAATGAGTAAAACAAGGTCCTGGGGGCCATTGCAGTATCTATATTTACTAATTATTATGAGACTGTGTGTGTGTGTGTGTGTGTGTGTGTGTGTGTGTGTGTGAGAGAGAGAGAGAGAGAGAGAGAGAGAGAGAGAGAGAGAGAGAGAGACCTTAACTCAAGGTCAAAAGATATTTGCTGAGGTGGCAAATGTCCTTTGGCACCTGACCTTTAAACTGGGGATGAGAAGAGCCAAATAAACCAGTTAAAGTGTTCTTCGCTCTCTCCCTGATGGCTAGAAGGAGAGGTTGTGTGGAGTACAGAGAGGTGCTTCCACGGGTGTTCAGTTTGGCTAAAGGGAAATTATAGGATCTCGGGTTCAAGACAACCCAGAAACACCTAGGACAGAAAACAGCCGAGACTCCTCTGTTGGGGTTTTAATGCTATCCGAGTGCAGGGCTGTGAGCCTGTAATCCCACTTAGGAATTGAGGAGCAGGAGCTTGACACTGTCTCAAAAGAAACAACAAACACAAATGAAAGCCACGTGATAAGGTCTACAGAGTTGCTGGGCTGTTTTGAACATATGATGAACCATATGTCGGTTTCTTCATCTATAAAATGGGTGATGACGGTATTGACCTCTCAGGCCAATAAAAGCAAACAAACAAACAAACAAAAACCCATGAAGTCTTCAAGAGCCCTGAATATAAAACCTCTAAATAGGAAGTCTGCGGCAGACAGGCAAAGGGGCTTTAGCATCAGAGAAATGGGCTGTGGTTATGTAGTTATCACAGGTGCTTGAACTTAGAGACCATTATTGAATCTCCTCAGTCCTAGTGTCCCCATCTAAAAATGAGGGTGACAACAGCTATCTTAAAAGGCTGTGACAGGGAATTAGGAGAGCATAGACATTAAATGCCACAGCAGAGAGCCTTGCTCGTAGCATAAGTGTACTCACGCGGCATCTTTTTCAGACATAGATGGGTAATATTAGTGTCAGCTATCCCATAGCGCTTCAAAATCCTATTTTCTTACCAAAGCTAGAAAAGTTGGATTAGCATATATATGCTAGTAAAATGTATTCCACCAGTACGAATACATGATGATCACCTCCCACTAAGAAATTACTGAGGCATAACAATTATTTTGTTAGCCAGGCGGTGATGGCGCACGCCTTTAATCCCAGCACTCGGGAGGCAGAGGCAGGCGGATCTCAGTGAGTTCGAGGCCAGCCTGGTCTAGAAGAGCTAGTTCCAGGACAGGAACCAAAAAGCTACAGAGAAACCCTGTCTTGAAAATCAAAAAAACAAAACAAAACAAAAAAAAACCCAATTATTTTGTTAATGCATAATAAGAAAGCAGCCTCTGTTCAAAATTGTATGCAAAATGACTCTTCGTTTGGTAGTCTGAGGACTATCCTTTCCATACCAATACCCTGAATATATCCCCCGCCCCTCCTGGTATACAGGGTCTCCTATATCTCGGGCTCACTTTGAACACCTGATCTTCCTGCCTCCACTTCCTGGGTGCTAGGATTACAGGCACAGGCTACCATGTCTGATTCTCTGGGAGTCTTTTCTAGATCAAGGAAACACACACAAGGGAGATGAAGAATTCCAACACAAGACAGAGGCGGCAGTGGCAAGCAGACCTTAAAAGGAGCAGCACGTCCCATGACATTAGAAGGCTTGCAAAAATCCAGGCTAAGAAGGCGTTTTGAATCTCAACCTTGTTGCACTGGAGCCGAATCCCTTAAAAGCGGATCCTGGCAAAGTGCAATCTCAGCAGAGGTTTGACTTTGAGTCTTCCATAGGCACGGACAGACCTCTTTGCTTTCACACCCGTAAGACTTAAAATGAACCCCAGAAAGCTGCTGGAGCAGATGTATGGGGCGAAAGAGAACAGAGGGTCACGCTGCTGTGAGCATTGTCTCCTTGCCCATCCCCACCACCCGGGGCACGGAGGTTTGTTTTATTATTTATTGATGCCATACCTGAAACAGGTTAAGCTGAAAATTAAGGAGAAGTCAGTAGCCAGGGGAGACCTAGCAAGCCCCACCACCCTAGTAAGAAGATTTAAATAGAGAGGAAAAAGTTACTCCGCGATGATGGCTTTTACGCTGTTGAATGCTTAAGAACCTTTGTGGAAATTCTTGTTAGCCGGTCACATCCCTAAGGATGTCACTTTCACTTTAAGACAGTGAAATCTAGGCTTATTTAACAGCCTCAGGCTAATTTTGGTGAGAAACCTTTTTTGTTAATGTGGAGGTCTCACTATGTTGCCCAGGCTGGCTCAACCACCAGAATTCAAGCGATTCTCCTTTTTCCCCCCATGCCCTAAGTATTCAGGACTGTAGGTGCTGTTTCATTATCCCTGCCACCAAAGAACAATAGAAATGACGTAAACTATATAATAATCATTCTTCTGAAAATGGCATTTTCCCATGTTGCTATTTCAGCAACTTTCTGCAACCATGGAAACCAATGGTCAAGGACTATGGACTGGGCTCTAGTAAGGCAATCCCACCCCAAAGGGAAATTGTTTGGCTATTGTCATCTACGTTGGCATGAGCCCATGCGTGTGCATGCGCGTGTGAGCGCACACCGTTTTTGAGAGGGGCACTCACACTGTGAGCTGAGACTGGCCTTGAACGGGCAGCACTGCTCCTGCCATGGCCTCCTGAGTATTGGGATTATAGACCTGAGCCACCACACACCATGCTGTGGTTTTTTTTTTTTTTAAAGATGTGTTACCCAGTCCTTCCACATTCAAACACTGCATGAAATTCATGGTGTGCATGGACAGAGAAAAGATCTGTACGTCCCAATTATCCATTTGTCCGGCTGTCTTGTCACGTCATTGCTGTGTGGTCCTGGGACAGGGCACCAGCGGGGACGTCCCTGTGCTCAGCAGTCTAACTCCTCCATGACTTCCATGACGATGGTCCGTGGGCCTGTCAGAATCAGGTTGCTCACGGTGCGGTAGTCTACATTCAGCACGTTGAGCCCGTTGACAGAGACAACGAACTGGCAGACCTGGAGGAGTGAGGGAAGGAAAGAATGTCGGCTTGAGTTGGGGTGTAGCTCAGTGAATGAAACGCCTACCTGGTATGCCCATCATCCCAGCACTTGAGGGGTAGTGGGAGGTTCAGAGTGGTTATTCTAGGCTACATAAAGAGGCTAACCTGGGGTAAATGAGATCCTGTCTCAGATACACACACACACACACACACACACACACACACACAGATGGACAGACAGATAGAGAGAGCAGATAAAGCAGAATAAAAAGAGGGATGCTCAGGTTTTAAAGTATCCACCATCCAAGCAGGAGGACTAGAGTCTGGATCCCCAGGAACCCATGTGCAGTGGTTTCAATAAGAATGGCACCCATAGGCTCATACATTTGAATGCTCAGTCACCAGGGACTGACACTGTTTAAAAGATTAGAAGGATTAGGAGGTGTGGCCAGCCTGGGCTACATCAGACTTGGTTTCAAACAAGAAATAAAAATAAATAAGCAGTCCTCATTTGTAAAATCAATAGGTAAAAAAATGTATATCTACACAAGTTCAATCACACAGCGAATTTAAAGCATTCTGGAAGATACCACACAAATGCTGGGTTTACTAACTCCTCACTTTTTAAAAATGGTCATTTCCTAGCCAGTGGTGATGGCATATGCCTTTAATCCCAGCACTCAGGAGGCAGAGGCAGGTGGATCTCTGTGACTCTGAGACCAGCCTCGTCTACAGTATGAGTTCCAGGAGAACAGCACTACACAGAGAAGCCTTGTCTTGCGGGGGAAGGGGAGTCATTTCCTTCACATGTAAGTATAATGTAGTAAGCAGAATCATATTTCTTCAGTGACCAGGAACCTTGACACTTCTGTTCCTTGCCTTTGTTGCTGGGGTGTCTCACACACCATCACCATTTCTCCTGTCCCATCCCCAAAGTTGGTCATCAAGAATTCAGGGCACATCTTAAGTGTAATCAGCAGTCAAGGTCATGGTGATAACGGGGTCACACTGCCAGATCACAACTCACCCAGAACGGAGCCATGAACACTTGTGGGGGCATTTCCCACTCAGACCTAACTAGGCCATTGCCTTTGCTTTCCTCTGCCAAAGAATGAGAGGAATGCCACCCCTCCCACCCAGGGTGCTGGACTCCAGATCTGTGTTCTTTCCTCCAAAAGACTGTCTTTGTGCTGCTACACGGGAAAACAAGAATCGCCAGCCAACCCTCCACAGGCTCCGGGATAATTGTGTCTCTGAATCACACCACGGTCATGTTAGTCATTCGGTCTTCACCACAATTATGCTGACATCCCACACCGCTTGTCTTAAGTAGCCAACATGTGAGCGTTGGGGAGTGTTAGGGACGTCACAGAGAAATTTAACTGGAGTCATGCTTCTCGGGGACAATGTGGAAATCCCACCAAACCAGTTCGGATGGCTACTGGCTGGTAGTCCCTTCTAACTTGGGCAAGTGACCTTTCATATGCCACAGCCCTTCATTTAAATATTAATTTTAAAGTTAATTAAAATTTATTTGTATGTGCATGAGTGTGCCAGCATGGGTTGATGTGCATAGGTGCCCAAGAAGTCCTGAAGACAGATCCCCTAGATCAGGAGTTATAGGTGAATCCCCCAGAGCTGGAATTACAAGCAGTTGTGAGCTTGGTGTATACGCCTGGAATCAAGGCTTGGTCCTTCTGCAAGTGCTCTTAACCCAGAGCCATCTCCCCAGCCCCACCACAGCCCTTTCCACTTCCTGCTTTTTCTTACCACTTAGCTGATGGCCACCTGAGTTTGAAGAGCCTGGCTAGGCAGAGGAAGTGGCTGGAAGCTTCAAAGACGGAAAGACATCTTAATAGTCTCCTGCTAAAGGACTGTACTTCTGGGCTTCCTCTGTGAGTGACTGAAGGCATTTCCACCCTATAAGGGCCGACAGACCATCCCCTGCTTGTAGGTATTTTCACCATCGGCACACTTGGGTGACAAAGACGCCCCCCCTCACTGTGACTAAACATGGTCCCACCTAAGGTCAAACCAATCCTCTCATTTTTTTCTGCCTTCCATTTCTCTACATCTGTTTTTCTTTTCTTTTTCTATTAAATCTAACCCATTTATCCACCAAATAATAAAAGAGAAATACAACTTAATATATCCATACTCTGTGATATCATTTAGCAGCAAATGAGAACAAGCTGTAAGACAAACAGGCAACAGTAACAACAAAACAGTGGGAAACTTTATAATAAATTCCACCACTGATTGTAAATCTCTCTCTCTCACACTTTTCTTTTTCTGTTTTGAGACAGCGTCTTCAGCTCAGGCTGGTCTTGAACTCCCTGTGTAGCAGAGGATGACCATGAACTTCTGACAGTCCTTTCTCTACCTCCAGGTACCAGAACTACAGGCCTGAGCTGCCACGCCCATCTCCCTCCCCCAACCTTAATCCAGGAACTCCTCTGTGTCTCATGTGGTTACGCCCATGAGGTTTCCATCCTGCAGCCACTCTGCTCCAGCCACATAGGAAATCTTTTCAAAGGTTCCCCATGCCTCAGTGCAGTGTGGATAGAATCCGAGCAAGGCAGCCGCCTTCTTCACTCATGGAGCCGTCATATCCAGGCTTGGCCTGTGGGACTCAGTCTCCTAGGTTGCCCACTCTGGGGATGAGTAACATGAGAAACTTTATTCCGAGGTCCCAAAGTCTTCCCTACTTCTGTCCTTGGTCAACCATGGGCCACGTGACTTGCTCTTTATTGTCCTGTGCATCTGCTAGCTCCCAATTCACCCTAACTCCCGTCTTTAGGGAGCTGTTTTCCTTCGCTGGCAGCGCACACAATTGCAAATAAAATCCCTCTGAGGGAACTGAACGTCAGAGGTCAGTGTTCAAGGTCATATGACTAAGGGCTATGCCTGGAATTTGGGCTTCAAGTGACTGAGCATCTTTATCGGGATACTAAGTTATAAGGAAGATGTACACATCTGTGTAAAGCAGAGGACCGTGTGTGTGTGTGTGTGTGTGTGTAAGATATGCACATTGACTCGACATCCCATGTGTTGTAAATCTGGCAATCTGCCATTCTGTTTTTCAGTTGCCATCTTGCCTTTCAGCGACTAGGCAGCAGTTCACATCATCACCTTTTTGCAAAGCAGCATGTGCCCCTTAAAGGCCCGAGCATCCCCAGATCACTCTCTCTGTCTTGTTCATTCTGCCCGTCTGCCTGCCTCTCTCTGTCTTTCTCTCTCATGTGCCCACTCCGCAATGGCCTGTCATTTTCGCATCCTTCCCCAATAAACCTCTTGCATTAGATCTGTTGTGTGTGGTGTGATCTCTCAGTGGCTCACGTTGGCTGAGCCAAAGGTTCCTATTTCTGACTGTCTTATATAACACCATGAACCAGAGTTCAAAGCGTTAGGTATCTTCCTCAATTGCTCGCCACCTTATTTCCCGAGATCAGATCTCTCACTGAACCTAGAGCTCACTGGTTTGGCTAAGCTGGCTGACCAGTGAGTTCTAAGCAGCCTCGTGTCTCTGTCTGTCCAGTGCTGGGGTTATAGGAATGAATAGCCAGCCACGCCTGGCTTTTGTACATGGGTTCTAGGAGTTGAACATAGGTTCTCACTGTTTATTCAGCAAGCTCTTTACTTTTTAAACCATGTCCACAGCTGTTGGTAGTGTTTTTTCCCCCCTCTATTCTTTAACTCTTAGACTTAAGCAGTCTCAGGTCTGCTCAAACACCTACAGTGTGGTGGTACACTCCCATAATCTGAGCTACTCAGGAGGAAGGATTGAGGGTTCAAATCCTGCCAGGACTGTAGAGTATGAATCAACCTCAAAAACCCAACAAGCAATGTGGATGTGGCATACACTTAGAATCCCAGCACGAAGGAGGTGAGGCGGGAGACTGGGAGCTTTAGCACACAGTGAGTGCACAGCCAGCCCAAACTACACGGAACTCTATCTCATAAAAGCTACAAGACAGCATAAAAATTAAAAAAAAAATGTATGATGTTGATGTTGAGGGTCTTTGAATTCCATAACAAGATTTTTATTCAAGTGAACCTGGATTAGAAAACAAGCAAGGGATCTCAGTTAGGATTTCTACTGCTGTGATGAAACACCATGACCAAAAGCAAGCTGGGGAGAAACGAGTTTTATTTGGCTTACACTTCAGCATTGCTGTTCATCACTAAAGGAAGTCAGGACAGGAACTCAAACAGGACAGGAACCTGGAGGCAGGAGCAGATGCAGAGGCCTTGGAGGGTTGCTGCCTACTGGCTTGCTTTCCACAGCTTGCTCAGTAGGCTTTTCTTTCTTTTTTCTTTTCTGAGACTCTTTTCTTCTCATGTTGTAGACCAGGCTAGTCTTTGACTCACAGAGCTCTGCCTGCCTCTGTCTCTGCCTCTGCCTCCTGAGTGCTGGGAATAAAGGCGTGTGCCACCACCACCCAGTTTCAGCATGCTTTCTTATAGAACCCAGGAGTACACGTCCAGGAATGGTACCACCCATGATGGGCTGGCTCTCCCCATCAATAACTAACTAACTAAGAAAATGCTGGATCTTATGGAAGCATTTTCTCAATTGTTTTCCTCCTTTCAGCTAACTCGTGTGTGTGTGTGTGTGTGTGTGTGTGTGTGTGTCAAGTTGACATGAGCATAATCAGCACACCTGGTGAGATAGACCTGGGATCTACCACTTGGGAGGTTGAGACAGGAAGATGGCAAGTTTAAGGCCAATCTGGGCACTGTAGGGAGACAGATTCTGTCTCCAAAAAAGAAAAAGAATAAATAGAGGCTAACTATACTTGTCTACATTTAAGAAACAATTACCATACCTTCTCTAATATTCGAACTCGGGACTCACCAGGTCTACAGAACAAATCTGAAGCCAACTTGGGCTACACAGTGGGGCCCTATCTCAAACATAAACCCCAAACAAATACTAACAACAAAAAAAGGGGGAGTTGCTTTTCTGCTCCACTTTCTACTTATAAATATCACAATTACTTTCAAAAATCAGACGAGGGGCTAGGGAAATGGCTCAGTGCGTAGGAGTGCTTGCTGCAAAAGGGTGGACATCTGAGTTCAGGGGCCCAGCACCCAGGGAAGAGGTGGATATGGCCACACATGCCTGAGCTCTATTGTTGGGAAGGGACAGGCAGGGGGATGGTGGAGGCTTACTGGCCAGCCAGTTTAGAGAGAGAAAAAAAATCTCGTGGGCTTAGTGAGCTCCAGGTTCACTTCGAGATCCCGTCTCAAGAAATAAAGTGGAAAATGACAAAGTAGGACTCCTGGTGTTTTCTTCTGATGTCTGCATACATATGTATGTCAAACCTATGTATCATGTGCATACACACACACACACACACACACACACACACACACACACTCACTCATGCTCCCATGATCATAATTCTCTCCTTTTCCCAGTTCTCAGCAAAGAGATCACTTCTCACAACCACAAAACTGAGAGTTATTTCAAACCTTTTCCAAGAATAAAGAAAAAATGCCGTCCAAACCTTTCTCATGCTTATATCCTACAGGGTATTTTTAGAGTCTGGCTGTTGGAAAGACGTCATCTCTCCCTAAGTGGCCTCAATAACCGCTGTGGTTCGAGCAGTTTCTACATCCTGTTGCTAAATGTTCCAGATCATCCAGCTCCACAGGCTCCACTGTGTACACACGAGGTAACTCACGGTGACGGGTCTTCAGGTAGCATCCTTGGTACACCATGCTTTGCAAACCTAACACATATTACCGGTAACAGCAGGAAGCATACTTCCCGGGGGGAAATTCCTTGTCCTCTATGCTAAAAAGCACACATGTACGAACACACAGAATTCATGACTGCCTCCAGACGGGCCACTTTAGGAACACGATTTCTCCTTGCTGGGCTTCAAGCTGAGATGCCCGCCTCCTGGAAGTGATGGGGATTCTGGGAAAGCAGTTATGCTTTCCCTCTACTTTTAAGTATCTTTACCACACACACCTGTTTGCAAAGATCATATTGCAGTTGCCCAGTTTTCCGTAGTTGTTTGTATCTGTTTGTGTATGCACATATAGGGGAACAGTTCTGTGTGTGTATGTGTGTGTCTGTTTGCATGTGTGTAGGTGTGTGTGTCTGTTTATATGTGCATGTGTACAGAAGTCAGAGTCTGATGTCAAGTGTCTTCCTCAGCCACTCTCCACCTTATTGTTTTTGAGACAAGACTTCCCACTGAAACTGGAGCTCACTGATTCAAGCTAGATTGGCTAGGCAGCAAGCCGAGGGAGTGCCCCCCCCCCCCACCATCTCCACCTTTCTAGAGCTAGGATGACAGGCACAGTACTATGCCTGGCTTTTGTGTGGGTGTTGGAGATCCCAACTTAAGCATTTTTTTTTTCCAGCGGAGCCATCTCCCTGTCCCCTCCCCTCTTATTTTGAGATGTGGTGTCATGTAGCCTAGGACTTGAACTCACTAGTGAGCTCAGGCTGGCCCTGAACTTCTGATCCTCCTGCCTCGACCTGTGGTTGCACCCAGGGCTTCACGAACGCTAGGTAAGCACTGTGCTGACTGAACTTAACCCCCAGTCTCATTACCTGCATCAAGGATGCAGGGCTCTAACTTCCAAGGGAAAGGGTACAGACACATTTCCATTGAGACACAGAACAAAACCTTCTTGTGACAGACACATGAAGCTGGGGTGAGGATGCAGCTCTGAGTAAACAGGCTTAGGAGAGACATCCCGAGCAATGGCGCCGGTCCTTCTGAGTTAACGGGACGAAGGAAGCTGCACCAGGCACACTTCAGGGTGTGACCAAGTTGGGACGAATACCCAGGCAGAACTCCAGCCTTCCTTCAGATGGAAAGCCAAATTAAGTAAATCCCCCTGCCTCTCTCATCCCTCTCCCTGCACCAGGCCTGGCAGATGTGCCCTAATTCCCAGACTGATGGAGTGCCTGTGGAATTGTTCGATTATACACATGCTCATACTTGGCTGGAGCCCACCACAGTCATGTAGCTGTTTGACCTGAAGTGGGAGAGAGGTTGGGGAGAAACACAGCTCCGCCAGTGCACCGGAGTCTTCTCGGTACCTGGAAGTCGCCAGACACCAATACTCCCTACTCCTGATCAGACGAAAGATAAAACAGAAGTGAAAGAGCCTGGGGCTGGAGACATCGCTTGGCTGTTAAAGTACCCACTATTCTTCAAGAGGATCTGAGTTCAGTTCTCAGGACCCACATGGGAGTTCACAACTATCCTTAACTCCAGTTCCAGAGGACCTGATGCCCTTGGCTGGCCTCCGCTGATACTGTGTGTGTGTGTGTGTGTGTGTGTGTGTGTGTGTGTATCAGTGCACAGCCCTACACCCAGCAAACCACCCATATACATAAAATAAAAATAAATAAAATCTCAAAAGAGTCTTGTATTGATTAGTAAGCCTAATTAGGGGAAGCCTAATCAATAACACAGGGAAGCGGAGACAAGGCACTAAGTAAGACAGTAGGATGTGCTTAAGTAGCTCTGAAGTCCTCAGACATCATCCTGATCAAGGGACCATTAAAAGGGGACCAGCTTGGGGAGACAGCTCATCTGGGAAAGTGCTTGCTTTGCAAGCAGGAGAACCTGAGTTGCCCCCCCCCCCCGGGGGGCGTGGTGACATTTGCCATCTCAGCCTTGAGCGTGGAGACAGAAGGGTCTCTGGGACTTGTCAATTATGTTAGCCTGACTGCTAAGTTTCAGGCCAGTGGAAGACCCTTCTCAAACTAAGGTGGAGTCCACCCGTCTCCACATGCACACACAATCACCTGCACTCATGTGTGCCTCTATGCGTGTGCGTACACACGTGCACACACACACACACACACACACACACACACACACACACACATTTTAAAAGGCTCCGGTGATCCTCAGAACATAGATGTTAGCATGTTCAACCGCCATTGCTAAGAATGAGCACCCTAAGAAGTTTATCTCGGAGGCTTTGCTGGTCTCCTTCCTTCCTCCTTCTCCAGTGGGGGCTTCTCCACTCGTGACACTAAATTAGGAACCAGGGAGTTAATACCTAGTCTCAGACGGTTACCCCTGAACCAGGGAGTTAATACCTAGTCTCAGACGGTTACCCCTGAACCAGGGAGTTAATACCTAGTCTCAGACGGTTACCCCTGAACCAGGGAGTTAATACCTAGTCTCAGATGGTTACCCCTGAAGCTGGGAGTTAATACCTAGTCTCAGACGGTTACCCCTGAAGCTGGGAGTTAATACCTAGTCTCAGACGGTTACCCCTGAAGCTGAACATTACTTCCCTAAGTATGAGTTCCCCTATTGGATACATTGATACATTGAGAAGGAAGAAACATAAAAACCAAGCCAAACCAAATCAAACAACCCCATGTGTTTCTTTATAAACTTTAAAGCATTTTTATCTCTTAAAAAATCTTTTTCTTCCTTTTCCTTTTCTTTTGTTTTTAGAGACAGGGTTTCATTGTGTAATCCTGGCTGCCTGTCTTTGAACTAGCTCTATAGACCAGGCTGGCCATGAACTCACAGATATCCACCTGCCTCTGCGTCCTGAGTGCTGAGATTAAAGATGTGGGCCGACACCACCACCACCAAGATTAGTTGTAAATCTTGAGACATTGTCTTGCTCTGTAGAGCTGGCTGGACAGAAACTTGCTACCTAGACCCTGCTGGCTTTCAAACACACAGTATGCCTCTGCCTCCTGAGGTCTGGGATTCATTCACAGGGCCCTGCCCAGCCTTTCCTTCTCAAATCCTCCATGGGAAAAAGGAATCAATTTCTACTAAGTGACCACAGCATACCCAGTGACAGTGTCCCCAGCCTGTTGATCAATCACGTGCCAAGAAACAGACCAGGCACATGCTCTTATTAAATCTGTAAAGGAAATGTTATTCTTCTTAGGAATGTGAACTGAACCTTAGAACAATTTAAATCAATGACAGAATACAAGAGGCTCTCTTATGCATCAATGTGCGTAGGCTTATAGATGCTTTTTAAAGAAAAGTGTAGCCAAAAAGGTCATATCACAAAGCTAGAATCCAGCAAGGCACTGCAGTCTTATGATAGTAAAAGTACTAAAAAAAAAAAACAGAAACTGATCAACGCACGGCCATCTGCCATGATTAAGGTGGCTAAGCAAAAAAAAAAAAAAAAAAAAAAAAGATGCAAGATTCAATCCACAGGAAGACCTAATAGCCGATTGCCTATGTCTCTGACCAAAACAGTCCCACGGCATGTAGAGCAAAAGCCAAGGAACTCAAGATGGAGCAGGTAACTGAATAATGCTAGTTAAGACTGGCCTTTGATAACGGATAGAGAGGCAGGTAGAAGGGCAGGCTACATACACTTGGCACGTATCTGTACAGCATCTCTCCTCTCAGCTATGTACCTAGTCCTGCTGCCATAGCAACCAGTTCCTCAGCTGTGGTTATACTAGCAGGTCACACTGTAATAACTGCAGATATACACAATTTATATGTCTCTATGTAGAGCATACAACTGTTTTCACGGCCACCTTTGCACTTAGGTGAAAATTAAGTGCAAATTAACTTTCTCCCCTTCCACCTCCCCTCCCCCTCTCTCTGTGTGTGTGTGTGTGTGCGCGTGTGTGAGTGAGAGGGGAGGGGTGGTCTGGGAATGACTTTAAACTTCTGACCTTCTTAGCTCTGTCTTCTCAGTGCTGGGATTGTAGAAGTGAGTCACCATACTTGGCTTCCATTAGTGAAAATTTAAAGTAAACAGAGCTGGCCTTTGAGATGGCTCAGTGGCTGAAGGCACACGTGTGTGTGTGCACACATACACACATGCACACACCCATGCGTGTGCGTGCACACACACACACACACTTTTAATTTAAAACTAAGCAGAACAATCCATAAAGGGATAATGTTCCTGTCCATGAGGTGGTTACAAGAACAAAGGTGCATCAGAATTGAGACCGTAGAATTTTACTCAAAAATAATTCTTCATCATGAAATACTATAGAAAAGCAGACGGCAGACTTGCCAGCGAGCCATAATCCATTACGCGAATAGACTGTGATGTGTTTACACAGGCATCACATTCAAGGGTCCTGTTTAGGAGTTCCCCGTGCTGCTGTCCTGAACAAGCTGTTTGTTTTGGTGAGGAAGAGCCAGCACAGCAGAATAGAGTCCTCTCCAAAGCACACAAGATAAGAAAACTTGCAGCTGTGTGTTCAGCCACGTCAATCTTTCTGCCAAGTATGCAACTGGCCAGAGAGAGACTGGTGTGGGAGGTGGCAGATGGCCGGTTGTGCACAAACACAGGCTTCCCACTCCACAGAACCAGTCCTCCTAAGCTTTGTGCATGTAAGCATACTATAGGGCCCTGTGTGTCCCCCAGAGAACAGACTACACCAATGAAGGAAAGCGTACTGAAGGGTTATCTTTCACAAGAAAACAAGAACAGCAACATAAAGCTGCGCAAACCTTCTTCTTTCCGCAAACTGAGACGTTTGAAGAGCCTGCTGAATCTACACAGAATCTGCCCCCTTGCCCAAGCCATCACTATGCTTTAGATGCAAGTTCACTCCTGGTCCACTCGTCTCAGTGGGCAGGCACAGGTTTGTGGAACACTTGAAAGGAGAGGAGGGGTCTGAAGGAACCTAGACTCGGGATCCAAAGAACTTGGGATTCTCAAATCGAAAACAAAATCTTCCTGAAGATTCTCTATAAAGGATTGTAGCAGGAGAAAGATGTGGACACATTGAAGGTTCCTGCGATTGTCCTGTAGGTGACTAGAAGCATATCCAAGGTTAGCTTGCTTTAAGGGAAGACTGAAGTCTTAGGCTGAGATAAGTTTAACCCAAGGGCATAAAAGTGTTCAGTTGGCTAAAGGAGCAACAGATGAGTGTTACAACCACAGGATTCTAGGATCTTCTACTGAAGAAGGGAAGGAAATTTATCAACAGGGAGCCAGTTCTCACTCTTACACTCCCAGGCCCCCAGACAAACTGGCTTATTCTATGGATACAAAAAGTTGCTCAGAACTTCCCATGACTGGGCCTGTGTTATGGCTCAGTGGGTAGAAATACTTGTTGAGTCTAATCCCGGGAACCAAATCAAAGGAAGGAAGCGACTCCCAAAAGAGGTCCCCTGACATCTGCACACGTGCTCTAGCAAGAAAGTTTGGGTGTGACCACAAACACACAACCCAACCAGAGAAATAAATGGCTCAACATTTTTGTGTGGATGTGGCAGAGGGTCAGGAAATATATTCTCAACACACACAAGATCCGTCTTCCTCTCATAAGAATCTTTTACACAACTACCTGTTTGGTCTTAAAAAACCATTCATTTATTGTTGGGAGCTATAGATCCTGGGCCCCTTGATTTTCTTTGCCTGCATCAGATTCTTGCCTACAGCTGCTCTGAGCAGGAGGCCTGCAGCTGAAAAATCCCAAGAGCTGGGCGTGGCTAAGGAGCCCTATATAAGCTGTCCCTGAGCACAGTAAAGTTTGGCATTTGGCATTCTTGTATCAAGAATGACCTGTGTCCCCACCCCCCCCCCCCATATCTTTGTGTGTCTCTGTCACTGTGTTTTTAAGTCTCCAGGTGTAGTTCCCAGCTCACATAAGGGCGCTACAGGACTGCCCACGTTCGGGTTTTTACAATTTATTAAATTTATTTATTAAAAATAAAAAACACAGTACTTATGCTTTTTTTCCTTAATTACGGTTAAGTTTCCAGTGCTGAACACTTACTATTAACAAAAATTAACATAACAGAAAATTTAAAAGATCAATTATTAGACAAGGTGCAGGCTGCTCATCAGATCATTCATTATTCAATAGCTTGATTTTTCAAAACTACAAAGTATTTCCATGTATGATTTCACTCACAAGGGGTAAGTTGCAGTGTATTGCTGACATTTTCCGATCTCCAGGGGCCCTGCCCCCGTGCCCGCCAAAACCTTGACCCCTCCTCTGAGAGGGCAAGATAGCCCTCAAAACCTTGATC